CACTCACACACCCTATGTGTGTATATATATGTATGTATGTATGTATATACATATATATATATATATATGTATGTGTGTGTATACACACACACACACACACACACACACACACACACACACACACACATACATATGGAGAGAGAGAGAGAGAGAGAGAGAGAGAGAGATCTCCAATAAACATGTGCAAGATGTCCAGCTCTCCTACATGTCGAGAACACACTCTGATCTCCAACCTCACTAGCTGCTCCTCCTCCCCTTGCCTTCCCCTGGGCCAGGCACTGTGGCATGCTCTAGGGCTAGATCCTGGATGCTCTTCCTCTTGTAGACTGTCAACCTAGATGAACTCTTCTAGGTCAATGACTTTACAACTTATATGCTAATGACACCAAATTAGTCAGGACTTCTCCCCTGGCTTCCAAACTCAGTACAAACCTTATACCTTGCATCTCCAGTTGGCTTTCCCACAGGCATCTTAAATTTAACACCTTTTAAAGAGAACTCTTGAATCTTTCCTCCAACCCTGTTCCTCCCCAAGTCTTCCTCACTTCAATGACACCAACTTGCATCCAGTTGTTCAGGCCGAAACCAGGGCATCATTTTTTACTTCTCCCTTTCCCTCATTAACCACATCCAAGGATCAGGATTTACTTTATAAATGCCTTCCATATCTCTCCAGTCTTCCAGTTGCACCACCTACAAAGCTACAATTATCTCTGGTCTGGACTACTACTGAAACCTCCAAGACTGATCTCCCTGATCCACTTTTGTCCCCTTATAGTAAGGTGAGGCTGGTTTGGGACAGTTTCAGTTTTCACCTGTTCCTTGATACTCGGTCCAGTTAGTAACTCCTTTCATTTGCAAAAGAATCCTCATTTGGATGACAAATTATATGGTCACCTTGCATTATAGTCTTTTCTTCTCACAGTAGCTAGTCACCACGAACCCGTGTCCCCTGCATCGGCAGGCGAACTCTCAACCACTGCGCCATCAGGGAAGCCCTAAAGTCACCTTTTAAAAGTGTAAATCAGATCATGTTTTTCCCCTGCTAAAAACCCTTCAAAGATTTCTTATTACATAAGAATAAAATCCAGGTTCCTTATTGTGGTCTAGAAGGTCCTACATAACCTAGCCCACCTACTTCTCATCTCTTCCAACTCTGTCCTTCACTCACATTCTAGCCCCACTGGCCTTTTGATTCTTCCAATTAGTCATGCCCCTTCCAACTTTCAAGCCTTTGTTTTTGCTGCACCCTTTACTGCTACTTTATTCCCCAAGATCTTCTCATAACAAATCTGTCATTTTGTTCTCTTATCAAATATTAAATCTTCAGAAAGGCCTTTGAAGACGCAATCTAACGCTCCCAACCCCACCCAAGTTATTCTCTATTATATTGTCCACTTATTTGTTAGTTTATTGCTCTTATTTCCTCACTAGAATGTAGGTCCATTGTCATCCTGTTCACCTTTGGTACCCAAGGTCAGAGCATGTGCTCAATATGTATTTAATGAGAGAATGAATCACAACCCACAACCATAGAAAAAATTAAAACCACGACAGCTCACAGAATCTGGCTATCAAATCAGCAAATATTAAAAGAACAAAAATTCCTTACTTTTCTTCCTGACACTCTGACATGACATTTATGTGATTGTTTATTCTTTGTCTCCCTCTGACTAAAATGAAATCTCCACAAAAACAGGGACTTGGTTTTGTTACACAGCCATATTCTTAGCAACTACAAGAGTGCCTGGCATATAGTAAGTGTTCAATAAATATTTACATACTGAATAAATTGACAGTATCTAGGGGTAGATATTGACTAGGTAGTGGAGAAAGGGGTATGTTGAAAATATAATTGGTGCACGATTTCTGTAGGAAATATGACAATATATATCAAAAGCCCTCCAAAGAGGGCATACCTTTAGACTCAGCAATCTCACTTCTAAGAGGAACTTATCCTAAACAAACAAACAAACAAACAAAGGTACAAAAATTATTTATGAGGAAATTTCTGAGTTGTTTATAATAGAGAAAGTTTAGAAATGGCAGCATAATATCCATTTATAGGAAAAGAGAAATGTAATTATAAATCTGTACAATGAAATACATTAAAAATATTGGTGATGTGTATTTATTGATGCAGAAAGAGATAAAAAGTATATTAAGAGAAAAGGCAAACTGAAAACAATGAAGTATAGCAAGACTTCATTTTTGCAAAAACATATGGGGATGACACATGGCTATGTATGAGTGCACACTGGTATTTACAAATAAAAGTGTAGCCAGGCATACTTCAAAATGTTAACATTGGTTATTTTTGGATAGCGAGATTAAGGGCAATTAAATTTTTTTCTATCTACATTTCTCAATTTTTTGTAATTAGGCCAACCAAAATTATCTGAATATGTTCTGCTTTTATAAGTAGGGGGGAAAAAAGCAATAAATATTATAAAAAAACACAGACACATTTCATCAACTTACTGAAGACTAAAGCCCAGGTTAAGAGCCAGAAGTTCAGAAACACCAACTTCAGCATTGGAGATGGGTTTCTGATTTCCTGAATTCAAGCAAGTTGTTTCCCCTCAGTCAATATTTGTAAAAAAGAAAAAAAAATTACAAAACTTGTTTCTTTTATTTCATTGCTTGCCAAGCTTGAGAAACAGCACAAAGTGTAGCAAAAGCTATCATTTATGCTGGCATTTTCCTTGCATTGCTTCATTAAAAACCTTCTAATGGTCCTGCCAGGTAGGTATTAATGTTCTCAAATGCAAAAGCTGAGAGAGATGACAGAACTTGCCAAAGCTCACACAGCTGTTGGGGGTGGTGAGGGGGGAGGCGGGGGAGTTCTGTATTTAAACAGAGGTTTTTCTGACTTCAGAGCCTTGAGGAAAAGCTGGACAAAGGCGCTTGAGGCTTTATAACCTTGCTCTCTCAATGCCTCTGATCTTTTGTGTGGTTATCCTACCACCCTTATCTAACTTGCAAGAAAGATAAAAGGAGAACCAGCCCGGAGTTTTTAGAAAAGTGGAGTTAAGTCTCTGGAGAAGCGAGATTTACACTGGGTACTATTCTGGAACTTACCCTTCATTTCTCTTCAACTCGAAAAGCTCCAAATCAAAATGCTTGGTTGGGTGGTCACAAGGGAGGGGAGGGGGGCAGTTTGAGAGTGCCCGTATGTATGTGTGTGAAGCGTCACAACACACGCGACAGACTGGGATAAGAATGACATCTGGGCACCTGACGAAGGAAGCTGACCCAGGATGAAGGAAGATGGACACCACTTGGGAGCAAAGGACAAAGTTAGTAAGAAGGACAAATTAAAGGGGGATTGAGAGAAGGAGGAATAGGAAAGAGGAGGAACTGGGAGGAGATGCAGTTGGGAGTTATTCTGCAGTATTTTTTTCTTCCACCTCTTTTCTTTCTATATTCTTTCCCTTGATTATCTCAGTCACAATTAGACCTTCGATTCTCCTTTCTGTTTAGATGGTTACCAAATCTTTCCAGTCCTGACTTTTCTCCAGAGTTCAAGTCCTCTGAGTTTCAAACTGAATGCAGCATTCCCTCCACCCCAAGCCTGCTCCTACTGTATTTGCTCTCATCGTCAAACATCCATCTGAACTGCTCGCTCTCCCATACCGTCAACCATTCTTTCATCCAACAAATATTTACTGTGGATCTAGTATGTCCCCCACACTGTCACAGCACTAGGGACATCCATTCACTTCCCAAGTTGGGTCACTTTTACCTTGAAAATCTTTTGTCTGTCCATCTCATCTAGATTCTTTACTGAAATTTGTTGAGGATCCTTCTTGCTTGAACCATGGCAACATAACACTATAAGTTAATTGGTTTTGCATGCCATTTATTCTACAGTGACCTCCTAGATTTAGCACTATACTTGAAGTGGCTCACAGTGGAGGCTTAGGGACTACAAACAATGGGAAGGGGATTGGAGAAGCAGAAGCTAGATAGATTTGTCTTGATGAAGTATTTGCAAAGGAAGAAACGGGTTTACAAATAACATCAGTGTGACAATTCTGTTATTTCTGGCGTGTGGCTTTGGGAGGCTGGGAAGATTGTTGGAAGTCTGATGCTGGGAGTCTCCTGATAGAAAGCCTTGCCCACCTCCCATCCCTTGAGTACTCAATAGCCACTTGTTGATTATATCACCTTCTATGTCAGAAGCTGCGAGTGTTGTGTTCTCCATCGCATCCCCAGCTCTTAGAACATCAGGCCCATAGTAGGGGTTCAATAAATATCTGTGGAGGATTCTAGAAAGGCAGGGACCATAGATGTTTTATTCACTACCTTAGGAAGAAGGACAAAGAGCCTGAGGGAAAAAGAAATCGTGCAAGATGTTTCCCTCCTTATTCCTTTAGAGCTTGGTAAATGTTTCCTAAGAGAAATAAACGGCCCTCCTGCACAACTCCAAAATCGGGCCCCTCGCTCGGCTGCCAGGCCCTGGAGCGCGGCCACCATCTCGCCCAGGCCCCAGCTTCCCTCCCTCCCCGCCCGGGCTCCTGTTACCTCCCTGCATACATCTGTACCCACCACAAGCCAAACAATTACACGCTCCCGCGTCCCCGCCTCGAGGTCCGGCACTACCCCCAGGACCCTGCGTGCCCCTGGGCCCCCCAGCCGCCACACCCGCCAAGGTTCGGGGAAGCGCACGGCCCGGCCTGAGACCGCCGCCCGCTGTGGGTTCCTGCACGCCCCCGCACCCGGACCTCGTCCATGTGCTCGGCGGCCACTCTCCAGCCTCAGCCCGCTCGGGCTTGAGTGCAGAGCCCGGGAGGCCCGGCCCCCCGACCCGGGCCAGCCGCACTCCTCAGGGTAGAACACGCCAGGAAGGCGGCAAGGCGGGAAGCGGTTGCAGCTTTGAGGCGCCCAGGGGCGGGCGGCGGGGCCGCCGAAGCCAGCGGGCCAGGCCGAGGGTGGCCCGAGCGGAGGCGGCGCTCCGGTCGCGGCGGGGCTCGGGGAGCGGCGGCTCGCTCACTCACCACGGTCCGGCGGGGCAGCGCGCCAGTGGTCCGGGACAGGGCCCGGCGGAGCCTCCGCGCCCGGCCCGAGCGGGTCCCCCCGGAGCTCTCGGAGCCGCTGTCGTCCGAGATCACGATGAAGTCCTCCATGGCTGCGGGTCCCGGCCGAGCCAGCGCGCGGGCGGCCGGCGACCCGGGAGGCGGCAGCGGCGGCGTTGACTTCGGTTCCTGCTGCTGAGGCGGCGGCGGCGGTGGCGGCGACGACAACCGTGGCCATCACCCCGACGGCCCCGCCCCGATCCC